CGGCATTTCAATCACCATGTTGAACTGACAAGGAAAACTGGAGGCCCAATGGAGTGTCTTGCCCATGGAAGGCCCGGGAAGGACTGGTGTGGAAAAGGCCTCCCAAGGACGTTCAAGCCAGAATGAAGGAAGGGCAGGTTACCAGGCAGAGCTGGTGCAGAAGCCAAGCCTTCCTGCCCCGGGGGCCCCAAGGGGGCTCCCAGGCCTCCACAATAAGTCCTTTGGCCCTCCTCCTTCCCGGCCTCCCCTCCCCTTCCTTTCTCCTCCTGATCTTCCTTCTCCCCTTCCCTCACTCTCCCTTCTAGGACCTCATTCATCTCCTCACTTCCTCCAAAGGAGCAGTGACTGAGCAGTGACCCCTGCGGGCCCTCTGGCCCTCCAGCCTCCTCCCTCCTCCTCTCAGCAGGAGCCCTGTCGCCTGGACTGCCGAGCCTTCCCATTTCCTCTCCAGCCCTCGGCTCGTCTCCCACCGGGTCCCGAGGGCCTATGGCTGGCCTCCAACAGGCAGCGTGGACACACATGGAAAAGCCATTTACTTCCAGGAGCGTCGCTTCCTCCGCTCCGGCCCCGCCATCCCCCCTTCCACGTTCTGCTTCTCCAGAGCCCGGGCTCCAGAATCAGGACTCGAATGGTCACAGCTGGCAGGAGAGCTGGGTGACCCCCATAGCGGGGAGGGAGCGGGGAGGGTCCTGGGGGTCGGCTCGGGGTCGCGGATGGGAGTGCAGGCAGGAAGAGGCCGGGACCAGAGTCACATGGCCCCGAGCTCCACGCAGTCAGACACGCTGCTGCCCATCGCCAAGCACAAGGTGCCCAGGTGTCTGGGCGCCGTGGCAGCCTCACCACTGCCTGGGCCTCCGGCCCAGCCTCCTCGCGGCCTCTGGGAGGCAGGGTGACCACACCCAGGGGCCAGGAAAGAAATGTAATTAGCTGGTTAACATAGCACGCAACTGAGAAAGATTCTGAGCCTTCTTTTTTTATTAAAATTTTATTTTAGAGAGAGAGAGGAAGGGAGAAGGATAGAGAGATAGAAACATGGATGAGAGAAACATCATTGATCAGCTGCCTCCTGCATGCCCCCTACTGGGAATCAAGCCCACAGTCCAGGCATGTGTCCTGACTGGGACTCAACTGGTAACCTGTTGGTTCATGGGGTGATGCTCAACCGCTGAGCCACACCAGCCGGGCTCTGAGCCTTCTTGTCAGAGAGAAGGGACTGAGCAGTCCACAGGCACTGGCCAGCCCAGTGAGCGCAGCCTCAGGCGGACGGGGACAGATAGAGAGTGACGGGGTGGGTGGAGGGGCGCCTGCGGCCTGGGAAGTCAAGTCACTGGGGGACCATGCAGAGAAGCTGAGCTGAGGCAGGGCCGTCTGAGGAGTATTGGGAACGCCTGGCCCTCGGAGCCCAGGCCGGCAGTAAGTGGTCGGTCACCATTAGGTGGAGAGAGAAGCGCTGGCTATGCTGTGGGACGTATGGGAGGAGCTTCGTTCACAAGGGAGGTGTGAATGGTTTCCTAAAGCTCCTGGAGAAGAACGCAACCCCAGGGCGGGCGTGTTAGGGAAGCAGATCCCAGTTCACCCTAAACAGAGAGAGGTCAGGAGTGCACATTCATCGAACGTGTGCCATGCGCCAGGTGCCTACGAAGTGCTGGATGTGTGTGGTTGCATCCTACCTGTCCAATAGCGTGACGAGGTCTTCATTAAAGACGAGGGCGAGCCCTGACTGGTTTGGCTCAGTGGATAGAGCATCGGCCTGCGGACCAAAGGGTCCCGGGTTCGATTCCAGTCAAGGGCATGTACCTTGGTTGCGGGCACATCCCCAGTAGGGAGTGTGCAGGAGGCAGCTGATCGATGTTTCTCTCTCATCGATCTTTCTAACTCTCTATCCCTCTCCCTTCCTCTCTGTAAAAAATCAATAAAATATATTTTTTAAAAAATAAATAAAGTCGAGGGCGATGAAATCCAGAGAGGGGACGCGGCTTGTCCAGCTTGTGTGGCTGATGCAGCGCCCACCACGTAGGTCCATGGGGAAGGTGCAGGGCCATCTCTCCAGGTTGCAGGGGGGCCTTCCTGGGCCGCAAGGGAGGTTCCTCGGACCCACTCAGAGCCCTCAGCCTGGTTCTCCAAATGTCAGCTCCAACTACTCAACAAACTGGGCCCCCAAGTCCATCCTATAACCTCACTTTCCTGAGTTCCGCTGGGAGTCCCCTCACGGCTCCTGACTCCTCACCACCTCCTCTCCCTCTTCCCAGGTTCTCGCAAAGGAATGCGTGCAGGTGCTGATGGGAGCCCGTGGGACCCAGGCGGGCTGTGGATGAGGTGCTCACAGGGCCTGGGCAGGAGGGCGGATGAGAAGCACGGAGCATGCCCAGAGCAAAGGGCAGTACTGGGTTGCCCGTCTTGGCTGACGATGCTCCTTGGGAAAGAGGGGAGGGAGGAAGGGGGGCGCCCAACCGCATACAGCACCGTGCCTTGCAGTTAGTAGATGCTCAAGGAATGATTGCTGAACTCGTGGTTTACATTCCGCAGGTCAAGGGGTGTAAGTGATTTTAATAGGCAGGTGCCATAGGTGCATAACCTCACTCATTCTTCCTAAGAAAAATGTCGTATAAGTGAAGAAACTGAACCTCAGAGGGGGTAGGCAACAGGCTTGGTCACACAGCAATAACCAGGCGCAGCTGTGTCCTGACCCCTGTACTCTCTTGCCTCTCATACATGAAGGGCGCTCCCCTGGGCTCTTCTGGCCCCTGCGCTCCCGGCCGCAGAGGCAGGAGCCCTGGGCCTGCTCTCCCGTTCCTGTCCCGCTTCCTCTCCTTACGGACGGGGCTGCAGCTCAGCCTGGCAGAGCTGGGCTGCAGGATCGGGGACCCACTCACTCGCCTCTATGATGGTTAGGTTACGTGTCACTCCACGAGGCCACGGGGCCCGGAGATTTGGTCAAACCTGATCCCACGTGTGTCTTTGAAGGTGCTTCCGGATGAGAGTAACGTTTGAATCGGGGGATCCAGTCAAGTAGATGGCCCCCACCCCGTGTGGGTGGGCCGCATCCCATCAGTGGAAGGCCTGGAGGGAACGAAAAGGTCAACCTTCCCCCAATTCACCAGCCTGAGTCTCACGTTTGCTCTGGAGACAGAGCTGCTACCCACCCTGAGGCAGACGGCAGTCAAACCCCATTCCTTGCTCCCAGAGGAACATCGGAAGATTGTCCCAGTTTAGGGGGGCGGGGATCAAACAAGGGGGCCACACGGCCTGGACAACAGGGCCAGTCAGACATGTGTCAGCCCCACGTCACGGGAGCCTGACTCCCAGGGACCACCTGCCCTTCTGCTTAACGCTGAACGGGGACTCAAGACTCCAAGGATGGCATGGAGGGACCTTGGCGTGGGCTGAGTGAGAGTGGCACAGAGGTCTGTCCACAGTCTTAGGGCAAGTGAGAGGCCGGAGTGCCCTCGCGAGCACCCCTGGGCGCGGGAGGGGCCTGCTTGGCACTGAGCTCTGAAGTGTCCTGACCCTGCTCAGCCCCATGAACCTGACACCTGACACCAGATCCCCAGCCTCAGTGGGGCCTGGGGATTCTCAACCT